ATTCAGTGACTGCTGATTCGATAAATGCTGGTTCAACGATCTCCTGTTAGAGGAAAGCCGGTCTGGCGAATTTCGGTTCGGTGAATGCCAGCTAAGTAGATGCAGCCATGGTTCGTTGACGAATGCTAGTTTGTTGAATGCGCATTCGGTCCCTATCGAGGGATCAGACTGTTGCTGATTCCAAGCAGTAGTAAATAGCACTCAACATCGCAGCCAGATCTGGGGGAGGAGTAGTTTCCTGCGCAGGAGTCAAGGAATCTGGTACAATCCGAGTAGACTAGAGAGACGCGAGGAGGCAGGAGCCCCGTCAGAAGTTGTAGCACGCTGAGATCTATAATCGGAGCCCCGTTGAGTAGATCTCCTATCTGTAGAACCATATTGATGTCTGGAGGAGGATGAACCGGAAGAAGACGCACATATCGAGACCCGATGAGGAGATCGGGAACAAGGAGGGGAAGTATCACAACGAGAATGATGATCCCTGGATCTTGAACGATAGGCAGCAGTCGATCGTGTAGGAGATCTAGGTTGACGAGTCGAGGGTGTGAGAAGAGGACGAGTCAAGAGTGGGCTATGGCCTCGGTGGTGAAGTAGATCTACCAGGTCTATCCGTGAACAAATTTCGAAGAATAATAGGAGCCTGGTCCAAACGACTCGGTGAAAGCCGTGTCCGTGCTGAGGAGACATGACTGTAGGATCCAACAGAGTTCGGGGAAGTACACAGATGATCCGGAGAAGGGCGTTCCGTTGAATACCGCTTGGAAGAAAGCCGTATCGGCGAAAAGTCGGTTCATCACATGCCGTTACAGTGAAGTCTTCCATTTTCGCTAACGCTTGATTCGACGGGTTCGATAAGGTGAAGTCTGTTTAGAAGACATTTGATCTGGAGAATGCCGAAGCGTAGACTGGCCTTTGAAGACTGGTTCGGTGAAACAAGTCCACACTCGTCTGCGACAAGAAAGAGAATGATGATTTGGAGATAGTCACGTGGGCAGCTAGTGCTGCATGCCGCATGCTTTGCATGAGAGCTAGGAAGCTGTCTTATAGTGAGGGTAGCATGGAGTGCTTGGGCGGGTGGACAAGAGAGGCCTAGGGGAAAAGTTTACATCGTTCCACTCAGTGTCGAATCAAGAGAGAGAAGTGCATACCGTGAGATAGGATAAGTTTAAAAATTTCATTTCATTTCACCTCAAAAGGCTAGGAAACCCAAGTCATAAGTGAGTAGTTCTGCATAAAATCCCTCATAACTGGTTCTTTTCTTTTTACCTTCTCACTGGACACTTGTAAATTTCAATAACAGCTGTTTAAAGAGCTGCACTGATGGCATCCACAATCTTTTTTAGCTTGGCAGCGGTGTTAACATAGCTGTCACCTTCCTGGAACATACCATAACTTTCTGTTACAGGCAATCAACTGATTTAAGGGCATTGAATTATCAAAGACACTAGTAGCAATATTGTAACAACATCACTGTCCAGAACACCAGCAAGATGTCTCACACATTACTCAAGTGAGAGGTTAAAGCTCACTTTCTGTTAAAATTATGTTCATATCAACCTGTGTTCTACAACTTCTTGATTCACATTTACTTTGCAGGGTTACAGGTGGACACAATCATCATAAATGCCAAATATTTAAAGGAAATTGAAAACGGCTAATAATATGCTGGTTTCATTTGGAATTGTCCCAACAACGTAACTTTGTGACAGAAAGTGTGAACAGCAGGTAAACATTTTATAATTGACCTACTCGAGACATATTACTGCAAGACACTGCAAGCATATTTGTCCTTGCACATTTAGCTCTTTCAACAGAGTAGAAAGAGACAACAAACATCAATTCTGGATGAGTATCCAGCCCATAGAAGGACATGTACTGATATGTAGGTAGTGAATGGTCACTGTGTGAAAGTTCTACAATTTCGTTGGTGTTGATGCCATGGCAAGGGCTAATTTATATAGTTACTAAGTACTATGTTGAAGCTGTGAAAATTGTTTATAAACTTTTATACTCGATTGTTATGAAAATGCCAAACGTATACATCAGTTGTTTTCATTATGTCAAAACTTAAATGACAGTTCTTCATATTGTTTAAATAATCTAAATTATTTTCAGACAGCCATTTGGGTTAAAGAACCACTAAACTTTATTTTTGTTACTCTTTTAACCATTACATATGAAAGATTTGTGGTTAGTCTTATGCGGAACACCAAATTTATTCTTTAAAAACTTGTGGTTAATTAATACCGAAGCGATTAAAAGTGGCCAAAGTCGCCTGCTTCCCTCTCGCCGCCAACGAAACCACAGACAGGTTACGTAACTCTGTCGCCAGAGCACTGCAGTGACGTCATATGAGGAACGATTTTCAGTTAGTTGTATAGAAAGTGTGTAGCAGCTCATCATTTTGATGATTTCTCGACATGAACGATTTGACATGCCGAATCGTTGCTTTGTCGTCAATTGCTCCTAGGGTCGGGTGATGGTGTCACCATGCACAGATTTCCACAGGACCCTGCAGTTTCGTGCTAAATGGGTTATGTTTGTGAGTCGCGAAGCGAAGCGTTGTGGAAGCCTGAAACGATATCTTACTTGTGTTCAGATCGCTTCACGGAAGTTAAAGAATCAAAACTACTTACTAGTTATAGTAAAATATGTATATGATTGATGACCATAAAGATTTTCCATAACACAACTTGTAACATAACGATTTCTTCCTCGAAGTGAGGTTGTGGTCGAAGTAACAATAATATTGTAAGTAGTATTATATTGACACCCACCTCGCTGCCAGGAGAGAAATTGTTATGTTATATGCTATGTCATGCAAAATCCTATTGGCCATCAATAAAATACATATTTTACTACCAGTAGAAAGTAGTTTTGATTTTGTAACCTTCGGTGAAAACAAACCTAAATAGCATTTATCAACAGACTGGCGGATGTTCCGACAGGGCGCCGCCATTTTGACAATCGTAAAGTCTGTTAGAATTAATGAGATTATACTTTGTTTTCATCAAGTTAGAAAATCAAAACTACTTTCTACCTGTAGTTAAATATGTATTGGAATCATAACCAAAAGGATTTTGCATGACACAACTTATAACATAACGATTTCTTCCACGGAAGCGGAGGTGGGGGTCAAGTCACAATACTGCTCGATAAATTTCTTGCTACATTCACATGGTTAATGTCCACTCACCAGTATGTAGATACTAGTCAATGTGCATCTTTATATTTGGTCTTATAATCCTAATTAGTTTATTATCATACTTTTATGCATTTTGAAACTAAATAAAAAGCTGACGATCTGCTGATACTTATAGTGAATTTATAACAGAACTGTAATATCTAGACATTTTATAGTTTGCCAATGTGAATCATAATTCGCATTACACACACCCTAAGCATGATGTTGTCTGTCTCATTACACTTCATGGCTAAAACAATGATTCTGTTGAATGAATGAATAAAAAACAAAATGCAAATATTAAAATTAAAACAGATTAAAGTTATAGGAACAATATCAGGCCATTACCTTGTTTGAGGAATGTATCCATCAATATCCACAAAACTGTTCCAAATGATGTGTCTTTTAACAGTTTAATATACGAAAAAGTGATAAATCTTTTTCGGTATTGGTGTATAGTCTCATTGGTCACCCAAGATAGCACACCTGGCAACTAATTGCATAATGTCCGCCTTTCATTAAAAACAGTAATTTAGTTAGCCAATAATGGGCAATCAATCAATGTATTGCCGGTTAATCCTTTGAAAGAATGACGTTGTTTTACGCAGACACCGACACGGCAGAGTGTATTCAGTATAGATTAGTAAATCTACATACATAAACACTACCTTTTGACAAATCCGCTGTGTAAGATAAAAGTAATTAATCAATCAGCGTGTTATCGGTTAATCCTTTGATCGATGTTTATAATGTTGAATATTTACTCCAGACACAAGAAATGCCAAATGGGAACCTTTGTCAGGTAATCTAAGTGTGTTACCACTAATTATACCTGTTATAAATTCATTAACTGACCATCAAGTGAATGATGACAAATAACATGTGTAGGTTTATACCACCTAACACGGGTTACAACAAGGGAGTATTAATTGCTGTATTGCATGTGAAAACTTATGGGCCGACACTGTTTTGAGAATACAAACAGATTTTTACATGACATGATTAAATATCGAGGTAAAAAAACACAGAAATGGGATCAATTTGGATCAGTCATTATACAAATAGGGCCTAACGACACCAATCAATTGTGACAGAAGCGTCTATGAAAACAAGTTGTAACTCGAAACTAGGCAAAGCAGGAGACAAAATTAAATGCCAGTAGATTGTGAGAACATATAGCTTTCATTTTCCACAACAATTGTCACGATTTCAGGTTTATACAAGCCTGTAAACAAGATAATTTACCCCCTAAAATGTAGATGAATTCTGCATCGGCCCTCAAAGCTATTCCTCATATGGCGCCACAGAGTCGCCACTCTGATTGGTTGAAATTTCGTTCAGCGGGTGAGAATTGTGCACTGTTGTCAAAAAGGTCGATTTAAGTCAATTAAAGGTCGAAATGAGTAGTTTTAATGTTGGGGTTTCATTTATAACGATGCCAGTTAGTGATTTATGTATTTTTACCCCTAGGGTTTATGTGACCTTTAAGACTTTGAACATTAATTCTGTTATATCAGTGAGCCAGTATCATGGGGAAGGAAATCCCTTCGTGATGCCAGTCCTGGATTCCCAAAGCATTACCAGCTATCATAACTATTCAGCTTATCATGGGCTTACAAATGATGTAGTGCTGCTACAGACACCTTGTGGATACGGGCCTTGAAAATTCAATACTTTGCCGAAAACCCACGACCACATTTTAGAGCTGACAATTCAAGAATCATAATCAGATCACATAGATTGGATTCCAATCATTGGATGATCATTGAGTAATGAATGCAACTTGGTTGACTTGTTAACCATGCTGAAAAGACACTTACCAGTTTAGAATGCACAAGCTTGCCATTGACAGTAACCTCAAACTTGCCAGTGGTGGTTGGTGTGGCCTCATAAGTCTGTAAGATCAAGAACATGTATAATCTCTGATCAAATGCTTGCAGTGGCATGTAATGGGCACCTGCACTGGAGTTCACAAGGACATGCTAAAGGGAGAAAAATCTCATTTCTGGTTCATTCTCTGTTCAGCATGATATGGGCTAGTAATAGTGACACATTGTGTCACCAAGGTTACTTTGCACTGTTCAAACATTAATAACAAAACAAATTTCAAATTTTAACCTGAAAACAGCCAAAAAGCAGGCCTGTCATAATACATTTAATATTTCACTCCAAAGCAACAAAACAAAAGAAGTGAAGCTCCATCTTATTTGTTTCATATATTACTGCATTTAATTCTCATGCCATGAATTCAATATTATGTGAATGAAAAACTGCAAACTGTTTTCTTTGGTCACTGTGACCACTTTTTCATATCACTGTCATTACTCTGTCATTGATAAGAATTCAAATCACACAAGTACATTAATTAATGATTAACACACTTCACAGTAACGTACAAATCTTGACATACGTTAGCCAGGAGAGTTTCACTGGGACTGGTACACTGAATTAATGCATAAAATGAATTTATACCATTGATCCAGTTATTAAGCAAAGTCTAATTATCATGGAATGGGTTTGGGGGCCATTCACACTCACCACATCGATTTCGCCCCCAAATTCGTCCATAAGTTCTGTCTCCAGCTTATGGAACTGAAAGGGAACAGCAATAAAACATTGCACAGCATGTGTGAGTATGGTGAACATTTACATTTAGAAGATATTTACTACAAACTTGAACACCATAATATTTTTGTTCTTGTTTGTTATTAGAACAACAAAATTACACATCAAGGAAGAAACTTATGTGAGCATAAATTCATAAATAAAACTTTAAAAAGATGACTCTCTAAGCATAGAATTTGCGAAAAACAATATGACATTTTTTCCAGGTTCCAAACCCAACATTAAACATGTATATTTTACAACAAAAAACACCTATTCTAAATCTTCCTTTTGAGTGGAAAACAAAAGCCAGAGTCTTTCACCAGCTAACAAACAAATATGCTTTCCTTACCTTGGGGGCGTAACCTCATGCGCCACTGGAAACAAAAATCAAGTCATATTATCAGTTTAGCAAACAATTCTGTGGCACTGGTAAAGAAATAAAAATACAATTACAAGAATTTTCAACCAGCTTCTTCATTCAGGGCAACCTAAGGTCTTGCACAAACTGTTTGCCAATATTATTATTACACTTACTTTTTATCATATTCATCACTCAATTTCCTTCAGATGAGGGAAACAAACATGCTTGATTCTTTAAAGTGCAAGTATCATTAAATATAGTAATGGATTCTTCTAAAAAATGTGTTTGGTAGCCAGTATGGTGTACAATAAAAGGCCGAGAAAGTGAATGAGAAAATGACACAGGGTTAATGGACTTAATTAACAGTACATACTTTGAGTTCACTATTTGTAACATCCCAAACAAATCTTGAAAGCATTAACGGGGAGGTGAGTCTTAATTTGCATGGATGGCCTGGAACCTAACTGGGTACCAGCTGTAAAGAACATAATATATATGCTCTTCATATTAGTTGTTGCAAGACCTGTGTTGAATATACAACACTGATATGGGAACCATAATTGTTGGGATTTGGGTAGCAGGGGCTTGTTCAGTAATGTTTAACATCAATTACATATCTTTGAAGGGCATTTATAAGTGGAACGAATCAGAACAGCATGATTTATGGATGTCAACATATTTATTGTGAATAACACAAAGTTCCGGAGTGTGTGCTTGCGCCTTCATTAGATGATGAAGTAGCAAGCATACACTCCGAAACGAAACGTTGTGATATTCACAATGAAGAAGTTGACATCCATAAATGTTGCTTTTCTTATCATTTACATAATTCTTTCATTATTAACATGTGATCAATGTTAAGGGTACGGGGGTGCCCCCTTTTGTTATTATCAGGGCTTTTACAAAAATAAACAAATAAAATGATTTTTGTAGCCAGTTAGTGGTAATTAACCATAACAGAATTTCTTTCACCTCATCCTGCAGTAGATATATGCAGAAAATGATTGCCAGTTGTCGGTTAAGGTATCGTATATCACTCACCTATTTGTATAGTGTTATGTAAAACATAACAAAGAGACAAGGATTCACAGTCTATGACACACTGAATCATTTTGTAGTGCTATTTCAAGTCAAATTTATACTCTGAAACGGAGAAAATAGACCAAACAAATGAACCAATCTGTGTTTTGTCATCACCCAGGATCCATGCAGCCAGGATGGGGCATCTTCCTGGTTATCTTCGTCTCTATTGTCGTCAAAGGTTGATACATGTAAAGGTTAACGTTTATTTCTGCCTTGGTAATCAACAATTATTTCCCAAGTCACACTCATATTCCGTGTAAACTCTAAATCTATTGTTCCTGTCAGTTGGACATATTATTATGTAATGTGAGCTCCAGATGCTGCTGGAATATTGCTAAAAGCGGCGTAAAACCAAACTCAGTCAGTCAGTCAGTCCAGATGCTGCAAACAGGGACTAAGTACAACTGAAGTTTCACCATTATAAATACACAGACGACTGAAGGTGCTAGAGCGTCAGTGAGTGTAGTCTTACGCCTCTTTTAGCAATATTCCAACAATATGACGGCAGGGGACACCAGAATTGGCTTCACACGAGAGAGCGCTTTAACCATTAGGCTACCCCACCGCCCCAGATGTTAGAGAAGTCATACAATGAAATGATATTATTAAAACAAGCTTTGAGGAAACCTTCCAAAAATAGTGTAGCGGGTATGTTCTAAATAATATTACCATGGCAATTTCAAATCTCATCACTTTTTTGTTTCTATATTTGTTTGGTATTTAACTCAGACCCACACCAGACAATCCATGACACCCTGACCATCTAACTTACTATGACAAACCACCAAGCTTGATCACCACGCCCATTAGATGCTTCTAACTACAGTGGAAGCTGTCTAAACCGGCACTCGTCAGGACAGAAGAAATAATCCGGTTCAGACAGACTGTAGAGCTGACATGGTTACCTACGACTAGAACTGACCTCATATTCACTTTTATTCACTTAATAACATAAACATGATAAATCAACACATTTGACAAAAATCAGACATTTTGGTTTGTTTCTTCTCCATTGATGATTCGAGAGTGATTTTCACGGCGGCACTTTCTAAATTCTCAATGGGAACAATGCACATCCAACCGACACAGAAGCCAACATCACACAAGATTATCCATCGCTGCAGAAACAAAATAACAAAATCATTTCCATAATATGAACGTCCATCGTACACTGTATAATTCCAACTACATCCTCAGCATATGTTCATGAATAACTATCAGACAGAGATGGTACCAATGAATACACTATGAAGCAAAAAATGATAAGTATCACGAATAATGGGTAATGAATATGAAAATCTATTCATGAGTATAATACTGAGTCAGCAGTTGATGTATTATTTATTACATTCAATGAAACAATAGCCAATAAATTATCTGACACGGTTTGGCCATGCTGACAGAGTTAATTTATTATGACAACGTCACAACTTACTGTTTATCGCCTAATGTTTTGGCTGACAGGACTTCAACTGGCCTTGGCAAAGTGACACCAGCCACAGTATGCAGGGGTGGAAATAACCCATTGCCCAACGCCCTAGTCCAGTGATTTTTTCTGTCGGGCAAGCAAATTTGTATACCACACTGTACCGGTGTCCAGTTGATATTCCAATGTTAATTATGTTGTTTATTTACAAAATCAACAAGAAAATGGCCGGTATAGTGGAAAAATTATCAGGGCAAGTGATTTTACATGTGCCACTGTACCAGAGTTCACTAGCAATTTTATAGTTATTTCCACCCCTGGTATGGATTGTATTTTTTTCCATTTTGCATATTTCACTTTGATGTATTTCAGACAATTTCAAGTAAAAAACACTCTTGCTTCCAACAATTCATAAATATTCATTTCTTTTGACTATGAATTCATAAAAGGATAGATTTGACTCCCTGAAAACTGTGTCCTTCAGTGGATAAGCTTGTTCTCTTGTACACATGATTTTAAATGCCTTGCATATCTTTACTCTATACAACCATGAAGGTGAAAACTGGGGTCGTTTTGAATTATGTCAAAATATGTACATCAGTAACCATGGCACAAGAAAGTTTAGGATGTGTCTTTCTTTCATAATATAAATCATACCGACATAAAAATTACACATAAAATCAGCTTCAAGATCAAAGACTAACTTAGCAACTGTTACAGTATCACAGTAAAATGCATGTTGATTTTTTTGTTATTCACCATTAGTACTGTAACAATACAACAAACTGTTGATGGATTGCAATTGTCGAGTCTCAGATATCAAATAATCGATGGTAGAAATGAAAAAGTATCGATGCATCGATAGTATGTGTGACTATCGATAGTTTATTAATTGACTTCCATTGATAAATGTGCAGCACAAAATGCAGGATGTATCAGTTTCATTCACTTTGCTTTAGGGTTATCCGCCCCCTGTATCCTCTTAAACATGGCAGCAAACAGCATGTGACTCAGAGTTTGAAATTGTGAATAATAATATGTTTATGTTTTACGTGTTTACTTGATCTGGGTTTCAAGTTTCTTGTCAGTTATAAAAAGAGACTGAAACTACTTCAACTTGTTTTTATTTCATATAAACTATACATTCATTTCGGAAATGACTTCAAATGAGACATAATATGTTGCAATAGACTATCACTATCGCTATCGCTATAGTATTTACCCCCTGCAATAGTCACCCCTATTCACCATGTTCATATCTTCACAAAAATCATTGCTGTTATTAATAACTTCACATGATCATAGTCGCTTTTGTCCGCTGGTACAATATTGCCTGCTGGTACAAATATTTCCCACTGGTAGTCAGTGATTACTTTTAATCGTATTCATGTTGGGCATTGCCAACATACCTACACACCCACACCTACAGATTTCGATTGCTTGGGACACTGGAGTAAGCATGATTCAGCATTCTTACAGACACCAATTTGTGCAGCTTGGCCTTGGTTGCTATGGTGATTTCAGTATGCAGGTGTGTTTTGTTGATTTTAGGTGTGGCATTTTCAGGAGTGACTATTCAGAGAATATGATCAACTGTAAATTGAGTACAATTCCAATGAAATGTTTGTGCATGATTCTTTTTCAAATAGACTGGCTGGTCTGTTTGTGTTGCCTGTTCAGGACTACAATGACATGCTTTGAATGTGACAGGGCTTTAGTGAGACAGAAGTGTCTCCAGTGAATACAAAAACAGGATTTAGAAGTTTAGATGCCCTGACGGTTATACAGAAATATTATTTATCAATCCATTCCATCAATGGTTTGAAAAGTAAGAGTTACTTTAACTTAATAAAGATTAAGAACAGATTGACCTGCTACTTCTTCCTTATCATAAACCTAAATGTTGAAAGGGATAGATGTGGCATGTTTCAGTGGTCCCAATCAGTAAATGCTATCAAACAGCAACTTGTCAAGGATCTTAGTATAGGGAAACTTCCATATTTACTATTAAGCACAATTATAACTCCATATTTTATTTATCACTGTCATTGTTATAAGTTGGCTCAAATACCTATGGTGCAAGTTGGACATGAGTTTCAACAACGTATCTTCACGTTCCTTCTCCCCAAATATATACATCTTGATTAGGAAGTCTATGCTATAAGCACTGATTCATATTATTACTGGCAATCCAAACACGTATGACAAGTGAGAGTGTTGTCGTTGTCTGAATGTACATGTCCTCAGCAGCTCCATGGACCTCATAATGCTCCTTAATACCATCGCAGTGCCTGTCAACAAGCCTTACAGGCCTAGTCTTGACCACCATCAGTGAGGGTAGCTTGACAGAGGGTGTTTAATTAAAGACCGCTCAGAACAAAATTTCTGTTCTATCATGGTGTGAAAATCCACCTGATATGGGTCGTACCACTTTGGTGAAACCCACTAGCAGGGTCAAACTTCATGAAAAGATATTCAAGCTCCTGATTCCACATACTGTCTTG